TCGAGGGGATTAAGAGAAAAGTCCACACAGGTGGGTTGCTGGTGGGGAGGAGGGGGTCACATGACAGGACGTTACCTCGTTTGATAAACAACAGCCGGGGCCCACAGGAAGGAGGAAGGGAGTTATTTTATAGGCGGAATTAACTGCTTCACCACATCAGGTATTCATTATGGTAAATCTCCCAGGTGCTGTACATGCGAGTCAAGTCAAACTTCTTAGGAGGTTGGAGTTTGATGCAAAACAACTTGGACTGATAAGATATTTGATTTGGAAAGTGAGGACGAGAACCTGGCGGCACCTCATAAACTGATTCTTAATCACAGCTGAAGCGTTATTCTTATTTTCTATTAAGTTTAATAAGCTAATGTCCTCTGTGAGAAAAGAATCACCACAGAATCACAGGTAGACCCGTGCATCTTGTTTTCTGAGACTGTTGAGATATTTATAAAGTCTCTTTTCCACCATCAAAAGTCAAATTTCAGATTATTTTACATGTATAGTTATATATAGATATATACATTACACTTAGAATGGACACTTTGTTCATTGAAGTTAATTTAGACCAACCTAATAAATGAAGTTTTAACTCAGAGTTAAACAAGTATATTTCTCATTAACTGATAAACTTTCAACCATTGAACAATTAGTTCAATGATTGAAAATAACTTTGAGGAAGTTTAAATGTCTTCAAAATATCCTAGTTACCATCTTGTATTAATTCCTTACTAACTCCTCCAAGGAGATAATGTTTTCACCCCTTGTCAATTATTTGTTGGTAATTGATTGATTATAAGCAAGATTACACAAAACAAACTGCAGAGACTTCTACATAACGTGGTGGAAGGATGCAATATGGATCAGGGAAGAACCTGTAAAATGTTGTTTCTTTAACATTGTGATTTATGTTCTTTATACATTGTGTTTTTCTTCACATCTGCACTGTTTCCCAGGGAATAATTTGTAGATCTTAATGAAAGAATCTGGCACATTTAGGAAACTGACATGAGTGTAAAAGCCGGTGCATCTTGATTGAATTTGACTGTTGGGTCTTGGCGCAGGTATGAGCTCTATGTGCTTTTAGATTTACCTGATTTCCACTTTTAAGTAAAAGTAAGTAGTTAGGTAATCGGGGACAAAATTGTGAAAGTAATTAAGGGTGAACTAGAAATGTCTTTAATCCATTAAGTAGTTTGTCTTTAGCTTTGTAACATAATCACTCTGGAAATTGATGACATCTCAAGCATTGATTTTTTTTTTGTTTTTCACCATTTACAATTTAAAAACTTCCCCAAATTCCCATGTGGTCAGATCCAGTGATCTCTCACCAAAAGACCAAATAGGAATTAGACGCTATTGACAAGGTTTGTGACAAATCAGCTGACAGCGAGGATGAAACAGTGAATTGTCAAAGAAAGTAACATCTGTATCTGCACTGATGTGTGTCCTCCTTTTTTGTTGTGTTTTGTTCCCCTGGCGCAGCTCAGTCTATCACATGATCACAGCAGTAAGTCATGGGAGTTTTTCCTGGGGGTGTTAAGGTATGGGGCTGGTTAGGCTGGTTTGCGGGCCAGAGTGCACAGGCACAGGCCAAGGCCTTAGCCCTAAGCCCTGCACACTCAGTTACTGACACGCATGCAGCTTCCCTTCCCTCCCCTCCAGGGCACTAACCAGAGGAGTGTGCATGTCAAGACAGATGGGTCACAGATAAGACTCTTTCAAGGCCTTCTCTGGGCTCCCTCTTTACCCTCTTTCAACTCCCTCTCAACCTTTATGCTCAACCCCTGTGATCTCTCCACTCTTGCTCACTAGCTTTGAACCTGTGTCTCATTCCTAGTGCACCCCCTCCATCAGGGGCGCCGCCAGACATTTTCGGCCCCATGAAAACATATCACATTGGGCCCCATCAACGGGAACCCTGATGTGATACCCTCTATTAAAAAAAGGGCTTAAGAA